GTTTGGGGATTTGGTGGTTTGGGGATTTTTAGAGTTGGGGGGTTAGGAATTTGGGGGTTTGGGAATTTAGGGATTTTTAGAGTTGGGGTGTTAAGGATTTGGGGATTTAGGAATTTGGAGACTTAGAGTTGGGGAATGAGGGATTTGGGGATTTGGGATTTGGGGATTTGAGGATTTGGGGATTCGGGGATTTGAGGATTTGGGGATTTGGGGATTTGAGGATTTGGAGATTTGGAGATTTGGGGATTTGAGGGTTTGGGATTTTGGGAATTTAGGGATTTTTAGAGTTGGGGTGTTAGGGATTTGGGAGTTTGGGAATTTGGAAATTTTTAGAGTTGGGGAGTTAGGGATTTGAGGGTTTGGGAATTTGGGGATTTTTAGAATTAAGAAGTTAGGGATTTGAAGGTTTGGGAATTTGGGGATGTGGAGATTTGGAGGTTTTGGAATTTGGGAATGTGGAGATTTGGAGGCATAGAAATTTGAGGATGTAGGAATTTGAGAATTTGGAGATTTGGAACTTGATAATTTGGGTATTGAGAAATTTTTAATTTAGAATTTACTGATCTGGGGATTAGGGAAGTTGAAAATTGGGGACTCTGAGGTTTGTAAACGTAAAGTTTTGAACTTGGAAACTTGGGAATTGGAAATTGGAAGTTAGTAAAATTAAAAATTTGAAATTTCAAACTTTGCTCCATACAAAATGTATGCTCCACATATGAATATACTATAACTCCATACTATAAATCAATACCACCAGAGATTCTACTATAGAGAATTAAATAAAGCCATCACCCTCCAGGATAGCAAAATAAGCTAACGAAACGTAATGTACAAATAAGCTTAAAAGAAGAAGATTGTATAAATTGACGTATACTCTTAAACCTAGCAGATTTGAACCGAATCTCGCATTTTCGATGGTTAACAAAAGTTATACGACCTGTCCACCGATTCAACGATCGAAGATAAAACGAAAAATCCAAGAACAATAAAAGCAACGCGGCAACTGTAGTTAAAATACGATGAATTATAAAGATGCTAAACAAGGACATTTCAACGGTGTACATAGTTTAATCGCCATAGGGATCGGAAACCAATGTGACCTGAAATATCAAGCGAGTAGCGTGTTATTACTATGCGTTGTCGTTTACCAATGTGAAAGTAAACTGTTTTCGAGTGTATGTGAAATATTCCCAAAGAAGCCCTAAATAAATAAATAAATTATAAAAAAAAAATTATGGAAACATAAGAGCAAATTGTCTGTTCGCATTTGTATAAACGTTAGTGACATGATAAATCGCGAAATCGACGTCAAAGAAATTTTCTATGAAAACAAAAGTGCACGAGAAAAATGACACGAGAGATGATGAAGAAGAGTGGAACGAATGATAGGGTAAACGTAAGAATAAGAACTAAAGAGAACGCGATATATCACTATGTTAATAAAGGAGATTAATATACGGTAATATTAAGAAACCTCAGATGAGTATAATGTCAGAACAAAAAGTATCATTGTGTCTTCATAGAGAAATAATAAGGAGGACATCGATTCGGGGAGTTGTGAGATTCTTCGAGTCGATGGTACTCTGCAAGTTCCTTCTCTCGACTCGTATGGTGATTGTAACGATACGTGTCTGTCGAATGAATATGGAGGAATATTATTAGTTATGAATTTATTGGGAATTTAAACAGAATTTATTGGGGAAAATTTATTTTGATGAAGATTTGTGGTAGATGGAGTTAGAGATTTATGGAGATTATGGATGTTTGGGTTTCGGGGTTTGAAGTGGAGAAATTTGAGGGGTCAGTAATTTGAAAATTTTTGAATTTGAGTTTTTAGTAGTATAATGTGGAGATTTGGGAAATTTGGAAAATGGATGTGGGGAATTGGAAAATTGGGGTTTTGATAATTTGGGAATTTGAGAATTTGGTAATTTGAAAATTTGGTAATTTGAAAAATGGGAAATTTGAGAAGTTGGAAATTTGTGAATTTGGAAATTTGAGAATATGGAAATTTGAGAATTCTGGAAATTTGAGAATATAGAAATTTGAGAATTTGGAAATTTGAGAATATGGAAATTTGAAAATATGGAAATTTGAGAATTTCGGAATTTGAGAATTTGGAAATTTGAGAATTTGGAAATTTGAGAATTTGGAAATTTGAGAATTTGGAAATTTGAGAATTCTGGAAATTTGAGAATATCGAAATTTGAGAATTTGGAAATTTGAGAATTTCGAAATTTGAGAATTTGGAAATTTGAGAATATGGAAATTTGAGAATTTAGTAATTTGAGAATTTGGAAATTTGAGAATTTGGAAATTTGAGAATTCTGAAAATTTAAAATATGGAAATTTGGAAAATTAAAAATTTGAAGGAAAATTCGAGAATTTTCGAATTTTCGAATCTGAAAATTCAGTAACTTACAAATTTAGATATTCAAAAATAAACCTTAAAATTTCTATCTCTACATTCGTTACAATATTCCCAATTGACAATATCACCAAATTTCTATTATTTCTTTCACCATCGAAAAAATACACTGAAATTAATTTCTACAAAAGCAAATAATAGTACCAAAAATGTTTCTACTTGTTCTTTCGATGGACACGTACATTTAGGGTTCAGAGAATTCAATTGTATCGCAAACTGCCGAGCTTGCGACATCGAGGCGATGCATTTTCTCGTTTTGAATACAGAATTGTCTTTTACTGAAGAATGAGTTGCTGTAAAAATAAACGAAAACGATCTGAAGATTCAATAACTGCAGTCATCTGCAATTTTTGTTTTAACTTGATGACTAACAAAATATTTTTAATAAGTATTCTTATTTCTTCTTTAAAATTCATTGCAAGTTTATTGCAAATTCATTGCAACTTTTGATAAAATTCAATGTTTTACAGGTTTAGTTGCTTTTCTATTTTTGAGTCAATTAAAGTTGCAAGAAATTTCAACTTCAATTAATACAGATTTTATCTACATTATTCTACAATTTACAATTTCCAGTAATGGAGTTACAGAGACTTGAAATTTAATTCTCATCGTTTTCGTGTCAACGAAATTGATGCTTTTCACATATCATTTTTTTACAGAGCTCCGCCAATTTAACCTCTGTAAATATATAATTATTTGACAAGTGTAACCAATGTCATGCAACAAATTCAATTCTAACAATGTACGAAACAATTAAATATTATTATAACAAATTGTCCTAAAGTGGAATAATTTTGTAAACTGGTATTTAGACATCTTTCGTGTTTCGTGTTTTAGATTTCAGTTGAAATTGCTGAAAATTTATCTGAAATTGAATTAATAACTTGCAAAAACTCTCTGCTATCAAAGGCTTTGTTACCTCAAACTTTGTCTCAAAGCTCGGCTTCTTTAATGTTGTCGAGCTCCATTTTAACACTTTGACAAACGATATATTATGTCTGAAAATTAAATCCCTACAAAAAAACAGTAACTCACGTGTGTTATAATCATTCTTCCTAAAAAAGACTATTTTGTTCAATGCAGTACAATTATAACAGCTCTCAATTGTAATTTCCTAAAAAATATTTAAAAAAAAAATACACCACAAAATGACAACATCGAGTGCATAAAATATACGATTGTCAAAGTGTTAACAAGAGTTTAAAATAAGAATTGAAGGATAAACTCGACCACGAAAGGAACTACGAACGGCTGTACGTAATGTAAAATAATAAGAGCAGAAAAACAGAGAGAGAATGTACCTATTATCTATTATACACGTGACACGTTGTCACGCGACGCGTGCATGTAAATTTATTATAAATAAATTATTATAAAGCAGCGACCCCGTTTCTTAACACACCGTTGCTATTTTATTCCGTGAAATCGATGAATAATAAAATTTTCGCAAGCATGTTTTCTTTCAAATGCAAGTTGCTTTTCGTATTTTATCTCAGGAAGGTGATTCTATAAACTTGTTCAGAATTTAACATAACATTCTTCATGATTAAAGTTTGTATTGTGATTTAATTTATAACAAAATTGTGACAATTTAATATGTAACAAAATGTATAAATGACAATGGTATGTAAAATAATTGATGTAGAAAATTAAAAGCATTTTGCAAGTCTTAATTTAGGATGTAGCTTGAAGTTTGTATTTTTGTTTGCGAGATCTGAAAACAGTGCCATGGTCGCCATCTTGTAACGGAGACTCAAGTTGCCGGAACAAAAAATTGCGATTCTTTGAAAAATAAGATATTTTTATATTTTCTTGACGATTGGAAATTATTCTACAGGTCAGATAAGATCAGAAAAATAATTTTACAACGAATCTGAAGGTTTACATTTAAAAATTAAACAAATTGAATTTTGCGATTAAATTCTTGGCCATCTCACAGTGAAAGGTTGAAGCAGATGGAACTCTCATATATAATTTTTATATTTATTGACTTTCCCGAACTATTAACTATTTCAAAATATTCTGAAGGTAATTAGCATTGCTTTTGGAAGCAAATTGACCCATTTTATTTCTTATTTAGTAGAAAAAAATCGATATTGACTTCGATCGAAAATAGTGCTGCTAGCGCCATCTCTCCTGAAGAATGGTTAAAAATTTATGACAATTTGGTAAAGTAAATTCGAAGTTGATTAGTCTTACTCTCCAATGTAATTCGATTCATATTATAGTCAATTAAGCTAATAAAATCAACTATATTATTTAAATTTTCACGAAAATTGAGCAGGCTACGCCACCTAACCACAACATGTGGAAACTAATAAAATTACAGTTTCAAAAGTGTGTAGTTCACTCTGTTTACCTGAAAGATGACGCCAATTGTTCCATTTTCAACAAAATTTAATTAACATTGATTTTATTAATCAATATATTATGCATTTATTATATATTTATTAATATTGATTTTATACTGTTTACAATATCCGTGGGTCTGAAGATGTGGACGTTCAGAACTATTTGAAATTAAAAGTAACTTGGGGAGGTTTGAATAAAAACACAAAGTCGATTGAAATCTCTCATAATTTATTTCGTTCGTCCGACGTAAAAACAAAATGTTACATGTGTTTATAAATTATAAGAATATTTTCGTTCTATTCTACATGCTACGCGTACTTGTATTGTCATCAGAAAAATTACAAGTGTGTCTTATTACGCGATATTTTGAGGTACAGGGCAAAGGAACGATCAGTCACTGACCAATTTTATTTATCATTTTTTTGTTAATACTATTTTCCCGTTAAATGTCGCGTCACAATTCTTTGACAGCCGGCCTAGAAGAATCCCTCGCTTTCCTCACTCATACAAAAGAATGTCTTAAAAAAATTTCAATTATCGTCTCTAATCATTTACTAAATATTTAACATGAAAATTTCACGCGAGTCATTCACTTATATAAAACTAGAATAAAAAACTTATTTCCAGAAATTAACCTTCAACACGTTCCATGCAATACAACAAAAGTATGAAAATAAAAGCAAACATTTTCCCCGATTTCGTTAAACTAAAAATTGTGCTTTCGGTCACAGAACGTGTCGAATTTACATCTCTAAAACCGCAAATAAAAATTTTTACAAAAAATTAGCCGGTTCTCAAAAAAGTCGCACCCACACGTTAAATTCAACACTACCGAGTGTCACGTTATCGACGACTAATTTCAGAGAGACGAGGTTCTTTCTATTACGGTGTAATACGTGGAATGTTATTTTATTCTACGTGTATGCACATCTTGTGTTATATACATATATTATGCGTATCGTCGTCTATGCACGATATATAAATACAGCGTTTTAAATACATTATCGACAGGTGTGTGGGTGGTGAACGTTAGCGGACTAAGATGGTATTTTCAGCGGTTTCAGAACGTTTTCCGTGAACTGACCGACGATATTACCCCTCGGGTGGTAACACGCGACAATTACGCAGGTTCCGTCCCTCTTCGCCATCGCTATACCCATTTCGGTGGTGTTTTTCCAAACAATTTGGGTGAAATGACCTAAATAAAACGAAATAATTGTTAAAAATAACGTTTAATTATTTTTGTATAATTTTTATTTTGATGGGTATATTTTATGTTTGTTGTAAAGAGTAGCATTGATATTTTGGGGGGATTTGGGGAGGGAGGAAATTTGGAATGTAGGGATTTGGGGAGGTAGGAATTTGGGAACGTAGAAATTTTGGGGATGTAGGAATTTGGAGATATACAGATTTGGAGACAGAGGGATTTGGGGGCGTAGGGATTTCGGGACGTAGGAATTGGGGAGCGTAGAAATTTTGGAGATGTAGGAATTTGGGGGCGTGGGAATTTGGGGATATAGAGATTTGGAGACACAGGGATTTGGGGACGTAGGGATTTCGGGACGTAGGAATTTGGGAGCGTAGAAATGTTGAAAATGTAGGAATTTGGGGGCGTGGGAATTTGGGGATATAGAGATTTGGAAACACAGAGATTTGGGGACGTAGGAATTTGGGAACGTAGAAATTTTAAAGATGTAGGAATTTGGGGACGTAGGAATTTGGAGATAAAGGTATTTGGAGAAATAGGAATTTGGGGACGTAGAAATTTGGGGAGCAGGGATTTGGTGACGTAGAAATTTGGGGGTGCAGGGATTTGGTGACGTAGAAAATTTGGAAATGTAGAGACTTGTAAAAATACAAATTTGCATCATATCTCCCACTCTATCGCATTTCTACCACATCCACTACAAAACATCTACTCCACCCTAAAAATTGCCCCAACTTCCACAAAATTCTCAAATCCCCATCCCCAAATTTCCATCAACCCCAATTTATCTCACGTACCACCCAAAAACAATCCATGTCCAACAATTTACAAGGTCCAAAAAAAGAAAACTTCCATCAAAGGGTTAATCAACAGATTCTGTTTAACAACTTCGTTTTACGTACACGTGTTCAAGACCTTTGGCTCCGTTCCAAACTTGTGATCCTTCTTTTCGGAATACCACTTCGAGACAACCTCTCGTGCCGGTACAATCAGCTTCGGATCAGAACACTGCATCGAGTAAATGTTCTCCCCGTACGGCGAAGATGACTGTGGGATCAGCTTGTTCGTATTCAGCAACGTGTTCGCCCACGCCTGTTGACAGTTAAAAATTTGTAATCGAGCATTACTCTTGCACAGGGAATACTAGCTAAGCTGGGTTCGCGTGGGATCGGCGATAAATTGTAATTATGTAAATTGCAGGCACTGTTTATCAACTGGTTGAGTGGTGAAAAAATATTGCTTCACGAGATCATCGCTGAAATTGAACATTCTTGTTAGCTGAAGGTTATGGATATTGAAATGGAGGCTGACACAAGGGGTTTTTAATGGACTTTTGAGGATAATGAGGGTTAGGGCTGGGTTGGGAATTTGGAGATGTAGAGGGTGAATTTTGGGGTGGGGAGTTTACGATGGGATGATAGAAATTTGGGGGTATGGGAATTTGGGGATGTAGAGATTTGGGGATGCAAGGATTTGGGGATGTAAGGATTTGGGGATGTAAGGATTTGGGGAAGTAGAAATTTGGGAACATGTGGATTTGGGGACATGTGGATTTAAGGATAAGTGGAATTGGGGACATGTGGATTTAAGGATCAGTGGAATTGGGGACATGTAGATTTTAGGACAAGTGGAATTAGGGACATGTGGAATTGGGGACATGTGGAGTTTGGGACATGTGGAGTTGGAGACATGTGGAATTGGGGACATGTGGAATTGGGGACTTGTGGAATTGGAGACATTTTTAAGACAAGTGGAATTAGGGACATGTGGAATTGGGGACATGTGGAGTTGGGGACATGTGGAATTGGAGACATGTGGAATTGGGGACATGTGGAATTGGGGACTTGTGGAATTGGAGACATGTGGAATTGGGGACATGTGGAATTGGGGACTTGTGGAATTGGAGACATGTGGAATTGGGGACATGTGGAATTGGGGACTTGTGGAATTGGAGACATGTGGAATTCATGTGGAGTTGGGGACATGTGGAGTTGGGAACATGTGGAGTTGGGGACATGTGGAATTGGGGACATGTGGAGTTGGGGATATGTGGAGTTAGGACATGTGGAATTGGGGACATGTGGATTTTAAGGCAAGTGGAATTAGGGACATGTGGAATTGGGGACGTGTGGAGTTGGAGACATGTGGAGTTGGGGACATGTGGAATTGGGGGCATGTGAAGTTAGGGACATGTGGAATTGGAGACATGTGGATTTTGGGACGCAGAGATTTGAGGATATAGGAATTTGGGGGTTTAGAATTGTAAAATTGTGAAAATTTGAGAAATCCAGGAATTTTGAGACTGTCACAATTAGGAACTTTGGAATTATAGATGTCCAGAAATTTAGAAATATATATTAAAATTTGGTAATCTGTAAACTTAGCAACTTATGAAATCGAAAACTTCAAGACGTAAGAGTTTGAAAATTTAGAAACTAGTAAATCTAGAAACATACAAATTTAACAATCCATAAACTTGCAAATTTGTAATATTTAGAAGTTTGAATATTCAATATAAACCAATACAAAATATGTCTTATACACATATCATACTTCTAAACAATACTCCAAAAGAAAATATTAATACCCTACAAATTTCCTCATATGCACCCTCATATATGGCCCATCCATTTTTGACTAAACAACTATTATTAAAATAATGAATAATTTACCTTAGCAGCAGCCGTGAGATCAGCACTCAAAGTCAGATCAGGAACACGATGTCTCCTCCTGTACTCATTGTGAACAAGTAAAGCTTCCTGTTGCCACGTCTGCTCATCCATCGCGTAGTGTTTAGGATCCAAGAAGGAGATCTTTTTGGTTGGACTCGAACTCCCAGGTGGGAGTACATTTTCCGTGAAGCTACCCAAGAAATTTCCAGCTGGATTATAATTACAAACTACGTAGACTTCTCCGTTCCTATTCCTCGCCATTCCGACACCTAACTCCGTGCTGTCTCTCCATACTACTTGGGTGAAATGCCCGGTTTTTAGGGTTGTGGGCTCTTTGCCGTACTGATGTTGCGCTTCTTCAGCATACCTGTAGAAAAATTGTGTATTGATTGGTACATGAGGAGTAAACTTTGAAAGTTTGTGGGGAAAAGGTGTGGGGTTGTGAGGGTTAATTTGTGAGTGGTGGGTGAATGATAAGATATTTGAAGATTTTTGAAGATAGTAAGTTTTCAAGATTTCAAATTTATAGATTTTCAAATTTCGTAATTCTCAAATTTTCCAACAACCAACTTTCGCTACTCCTAAGTTTCCTAGTTCTCAAATCTCCCAATTCCAAATTTCCCCGATTTCCAAATCCCCCAATTCCAAATTTCCCCGATTTCCAAATCCCCCAATTCCAAATTTACCCGATTTCTAAATCCCCCAATTCCAAATTTATCCGATTTCTAAATCCCCCAATTCCAAATTTATCCGATTTCTAAATCCCCCAATTCCAAATTTCTCCGATTTCCAAATCCCCCAATTTCCAAATTTCTCCGATTTCCAAATCCCCCAATTTCCAAATTTCCCAAATTCCCAAAAATCCCAAATTCCCAAAAATCCCAAATTCCCAAAAATCCCAAATTCCCAAAAATCCCAAATTCCCAAAAATCCCAAATTCCCAAAAATCCCAAATTCCCAAAAATCCCAAATTCCCAAAAATCCCAAATTCCCAAAAATCCCAAATTCCCAAAAATCCCAAATTCCCAAAAATCCCAAATTCCCAAAAATCCCAAATTCCCAAAAATCCCAAATTCCCAAAAATCCCAAATTCCCAAAAATCCCAAATTCCCAAAAATCCCAAATTCCCAAAAATCCCAAATTCCCAAAAATCCCAAATTCCCAAAAATCAAATTCCCAAAATTCCCAAAAATCCCAAATTCCCAAAAATCCCAAATTCCCAAAAATCCCAAATTCCCAAAAATCCCAAATTCCCAAAAATCCCAAATTCCCAAAAATCCCAAATTCCCAAAAATCCCAAATTCCCAAAAATCCCAAATTCCCAAAAATCCCAAATTCCCAAAAATCCCAAATTCCCAAAAATCCCAAATTCCCAAAAATCCCAAATTCCCAAAAATCCCGAATTCCCAAAAATTCCAAATTCCCAAATATCCCAAATTCCCAAAACTCTCAAATATCCACGCACGTTTTCATTAGCCACTCAATCTTGCCACTACTGACATAAATCATAAATAAGCATGTTACGTTAAACGTCAACGATTATAGTCTCTTAAGGAAACTAGCACTCAACAGTCACATTAACAGTTACGAGAACTATGCGCAAAAAATTTAAAGGATTTTAGGTTACGTAATAAAAAGTAACTAGGTCAAGTGACGCATGCGGGGTTTCTAGTGTTAATTACTCACCATTCATTCACCGGCTCGTCGCCACTCACAACAGTCTTCGGATTGGAGCTCCACATACAGTAAAGGTTCTCACCGTAGTCGATGTTTGCTCTGTGTTCTAACCTACCTCTGGCAGCCAATATGTTCGCCCAGTCCTGGCTCGTTTTACATAACTGCAAATAGACAATTCATTCTATTAACTAAAAGATAAAAAATTTTACTCAATATGAAATTTTGCTCTTTTCAATTTATTGTGTGTTGAATACTGTAGCTTTTTTGTAAATTTAGGTAAGCTCTAAATTTTCTAAATCCCGAATCTCTAGTTTTTTAACTAGTTTTTGCCTAAATTTTCAAATTTCTTTATTATTTATTATATTTATAAATTTTCAAATTTTGAAGTTATCAAGTTTTCAGATGCCTAAATTTCTAAATCTCTGAAATTGTCATACTTCAAAATTTCCAAATATTCAGATGCTCAAACTTCTAAATCACCAACCCTTCAAATTTCTAAATTTCTAAATTATCAAATTTTCTAAACTTTCTTGAGTCATAATTATAATCTAATTATATATATTGACCTCATATATTTTTATTAGAAAAATGATTAAAAATGATAAATTACCTGTTTACTGAGACGAAGAGGTGGCACCCCATGCCTCGCGCGGTAGAAATTGTGCGTTTCAAGGCAAACGCTGACAAATTCCCTAGGAGGTCCGAATCTGCGCACAGACGGTTTACGTGTGTCAGTCTTTGTGATCTACAACACACAGAGAGAGAATGACTAGTGACAGATAAAACTTATATGTATCTTACAACATCCAAGATATACCACATCTAATCAACTATTATTTTCTTTTTTATTTATCACATACTTTATTGTGAAATTTTATGGAATTTCCGAATTTTATTGGAATAATTTTTTGTGAAAATTAAGGAATTTCGGAATGTCATTATAGAATCATTATGGATCTCATTAATATTATTGTTGATATCATTATCATTATGGGATCTCAATCACAACCAAAATTTTCTAATGAATCAATCAATTCAATCAATTGACCAATTGATGCATTAATAAATTTTTTAATGAATCAACTAATTCAATCAATTGATGAATCAATCAATTTCCTTCAGTCCAATTCTCCAAAAGCACAATAAACATATACCCTAGAAATAGCACCCCCGCATTTCAAAACCTTCACCCGCTAACATTCTCCAACCTAATAGCATCCAAACTGCATAGCCTCCCACGTATTTTCCCAAACGGAAATCGGGGAAAGCTAACAAGAAGGCACGCTTCGCGATGATAATTTCACTCACACGTACTGCAATAAGAGCACGTGCACGAATGTCGTGCACGTGTTCGCGTCACGGTTCGAGCAGAATCACGCGATCGTGCGAGCATAGGCGGCAATAAAGCCGGTGACGTCCTTAATAACCTAGATGCGAAATACTCAATGGGGAGTAGACTGACTGGCAGCAACGATTTCCCATCATCCTATCGCGACGTGATCATTTCCAGGACGGCAGCCAAGAGGAAACGAGCTATCGTGAAATCACCGCGTTCTTCTTCTTCGTCGCCGGCCTTTCCGGTCACGCGTTTCTCTTCGATGCCTGTGAAACCAATTAACGCATCGATCCCGTGTAATTTACAGTTTCCCTCGCGTCTGAACGCGGTCGGACGATTTCGTCATCCTGACGGATGAACAATGAAGACGTTACCAACTTCAGATATTTCTGTCGACGAAGCGGTATCGACCGGTCGACGCGTATTTTTAATTTCCTTGCAAATGTCAGACGTCGATTCGGTCGATTAGTGCTGCCAGATGTTGCTGAGTTCGGTTAGTGGATTTGACATGTTGGGGTTTTAGTTCGAGTCTGATAAGGTTATTGTTACTGTCAGGTTTTATTGACCTGTGTCCTCGTCCTGTATCGTTCTATATTATTCTTTATCGGTCTGCATTGTTCGATAGCCCTTTATATCATCCTACATCGTACTATACTACATATAGAATACATATATGTACATACATCATCATATACTAGTCTACATATATCGTCACATAGTAGCTTATGTCATCCTATGTTAGCCTACATCCTCCTATATCATCCCATATGGTCACATAGTAGCTTATATCACATATGTTAGCCTTCATCTACCTATACCATCCCATATCATCACATAGTAGATATCATCCTATGTTAGCCTACATGCTCATATATCATCCCATATCGTTTTTATCGTCCCATGACGTCCCTATATCGTCTCCACATATATCGTCCCATGTCGTTCCTATATCGTCTCTACACACATTCCATATTGCCCCACATCGTCTCATTCTATACTAACCTATATCGTCCCATAAATCATGTACCTATGACTTTAACACTAGATTTACAGACACTTCACGACCACTTATTTTCACATGCAAAATAAAGTAGAATAATAAATAAATAAATAGTGATACATAAACTAGCTTATACAGTGATTCTTCACATCAATAAAACTTAATATTAAGCCAAAGGGTTTCTAATAATTTTTGTAACTTAAAATAAAGGTTCTAACATCCGCCATCTTGATTAGTACCATAAGCTTAGTATTAACGTAACTTTGTCCTAGAACACACAATTTTTCAAAAATATAAAAAATATCTATTAATTTAGAACAGAGAATTCAGGTAAAAAATAAATATTAAAAAATTCGAAAATCATAGGAGCTCTTGAAATTGCTATTAAAAGCAGAAAAAAATAATAACTAATAATTGTATAATTTCGAACAGGAAATTCAGATAAAAGGTAAATATTAAAAAAATAGCGATGAAAATAAGTTAAATGTTCAATTAAATATCCTGTACGTATAATAGTATTATAATTAAAGTTCTTGTGAAACCATCATCTTTAAGACACTGATTAAAAAATTACTATGATTGAAGACCGTAAACGTGCATCAACAACTTTCATTAATTTCTCGTCCACAAGTTGCTAAATCACCTCCAACGATCATCAATAAAAAGATTCTGACCCAAATTACACTTTAACCCCCGTTAAGCGTCCGAGGTGCGAAGAAGCGCGAGGTTCTCGGTAATTTACGAGTCTATTTATAATCTTTTCTCTTTAGCGCCGGTGTAACTCATTGTCGTAAGCTCGTGTTCGTCGTACGGCGAAATAGAAAGCGTTGAGTAACAATGAGAGTGCAATTTCGGAATGTTAGAATTTAAAACTTTGGAAATCTATTAGGGAATTTGGGGGTTGAGTCAAATAAAAATTAGGAGATTCGAAAATTTTATAATTTGGAGATTTGGGAATTTGGAAGTTTGGGAATTTGGGAATTTGAGATTTTGGAAACTTGAAAATTTGGAAATTTGAGAATTTGGAAATTTGAGAATTTTGGAAATTTGAGATTTTGGAAATTTGAGAATTCGGAAATCTGAGAATTCGGAAATTTGAGATTTTGGAAACTTGAGAATTTGGAAATTTGAGAATTCGGAAATTTGGGAATTTGGAGATTTGAGAATTTGGTAATTTGAGAATTTGGAAATTTGAGAGTTTGGAAACTTGAGAATTTGGAAATTTGAGAATTTGGAAATTTGAGAATTCGGAAATTTGAGAATTTGATAATTTGAGAATTTGGAAATTTGAGAATTTGGAAATTTGAGAATTTTAGAAATTTGAGAATTCGGAAATCTGAGAATTCGGAAATTTGAGATTTTGGAAACTTGAGAATTTGGAAATTTGAGAATTTTAAAATTTGAGAATTCGGAAATTTGACAATTTGGAAATTTGAGAATTTAAGAAACTGACGAAGCAGCATTAAAAATTTGGAAAATTGAAAGTTCCGCAATTTGGAACCTGTAAGATTTGAGAATCTGTAAATTTAAAGAATTCAGAAGAAGCTATAACATTCGAGTGCACATTTCATTAACGATCCAGCTGTAAATCACTCCATTAAACCAAAAAGAATCAAGAGTTAATGCGAATGCATCGAAGACTGCGCCGCTGAGCGAAGCTCAAAGCGGGTAGAGAAAAATCGGCAGCACGCGAAGCAGACTCTCGAAGCCGATTAGTCATCGTTGCGAGAGTAACGATTTCCCGAGGCGGTGCACGAACTGTTCGGTCGTGTGTCTCTCGAAAAGGGAACGATCCTGAGTCATCGACGGATGCCAACGTACCCCGATGAAGCTCGTTGGCTGCCAGGTAAACGTCGAAGAGGTGTCACGTGCGAACGTGGATGCGCGACGATGATTTACTTTGCTGTTTAATCCTTTAAACGGTAACCGGTTACGAAACTTGTTCTGCTCCTCTTCTCGTCGATTTAGAGACGTAAGTGACGATGAGCAATGAGGATGAAAACGTTAGGTTTTATGCTGTTTCGGTGATGATGATTAATATCTTTATGATTAATCTGCTTCCAAGTGGAGCAAAGTCGTTTTTGCGTGTGAAATTTAGGCGTGGAGAAATTGAGGAATTTAGGGATTTAGGTATTGTGTGATTTTTGGAACTTTAGGATTTGAAGTTTTAGGGATTTGGTGGTTTAGGGTTTGGGAATGTTGGAATTTGGTCATTTTAGAAATTAGGACTGGGTGATTTTGGAAATTTTAGGATTTGAAGTTTTAGGGATTTGGTGGTTTAGGGTTTGGGAATGTTGGAATTTGGTCATTTTAGAAATTAGGACTGGGCGATTTTGGAAATTTTAGGATTTGAGGTTTCAGGGATTTGGTGGTTTAGGGTTTGGGAATGTTGGAATTTGGTCATTTTAGAAATTAGGACACTTGCAAGTTTAGAGATTTTGAGAGTTTGGAACTGCTGAAAAATATAGATTTGGATATTTAAGTATTTGTGGACTTGGAGATTTTGGACGTGAGGATTTAGGAATATTGGAGTTTGCTTATATAGAAATTTGGAGACATTGGAATTTGGTTATGTAGGATTTATGGGACATTGCAATACAACAAGATATTGTCACTGAACTGTAAGTGCCAGTCGTCACACATCCCGGAGGACACAAAATGGCGGACGCAACGCAAAATGGCTAACCAATTACTGCGCCAAAAGTGTTCATACCTAACAAGTTTGCTATAAAAGAAGTATAGTATATATACTAGTATAGTGTGTTAATTAAGTACATTTACTATGAGTATATTAACTGTACATCTACTAAGCATAGTACATATAACAGTATAATATATGTACACATATATGCATGTACCATTAATGTTGGTACAACTTGTTACAAAAATCAAAATACCATAAAATCCCACTCTGATCACTCATTTACGTATACAAACATACAAACCAAACCAAACTAAATACAACATTTTCTCACAGAATTAAACTTTCTCAAAATGGACCAAAACCCCATTAGAGAAATAGTCAAAGTGCCAAAAGATTAATAGGTTGTCTAACAGTCCCCCAGTGAGTAAAGTATCTATGTAAAATCGATAAAAAACACGTATTTACCGGCGTCGACGAGTATCTCGCAGAATCTGGAGAGGCTGATGATGACCTGGCACTACTGCAAGACATGCCATCGCTGCCTAAGCTACCGTGAAAACTGCCGTGCAAGGAATTCGACAATGGCCCTGGAGAGGCTGGTGACGCTGTCAAAGGGGATTTCGATCTCACCGAATCCGTCCTCGACCTGTAAATCAGTAAATCGATTATGTGCTGGATGCTGAAACACAAAGTATCCATTCAGTTTCGAGACAGTGAGACTCGGCGAGCGGTGCGTGTTCAAACAAGCTGCTTCTATGAGAACTGTTTTCTCGGAAACAACGAGACTATGGTTGTTCTGTTGCATTCAAAGCTGCTACGAGTGTTAACCCTTTCGTTCCTATTGTAAGGTTCCGTACAAGTGCTTTGCATTGAGAAGTAAATGGTTTCTTGGTATTCGTGTGTTTGACTGTACGATACAAGGTTTTATTTTTTGGAATACTGTTGTTTTTTCTTGTGTGATAATTTTAGGAAGGACTTGTATATAATGTCCATTTGAGAAATGTAAATTATATTTAATTTTTATGTATTGTGAAAGAAATTTTATTAGTAAATAAATTCTCAAATGTGTTTTTTTTATTCAAAATTTGTATGTAAGAATTATTCAAATATTGATCTATGTAATTCAAGAATTATTCAATTGTATGTACATGTATTACAATTGTATTTCTATTATTCTAAAAGATGGAACAATTTATCAACACAAAATGACTTTAATTATATGAAGTATTAAAATGTTTTTATATACATAATTTATACATTCTATAATGAAGATAAAAGTGAAAAGAAGTTATTTTGTTTACAATTGTTGTAATTTAGGAATGAAAGGGTTCAACTAGAATCGAATTATGAACGTGAATGAAAAGCAGTGTGATTGAATTCTAAATTTACGATAAAATACAGGGTAATTAGATGCTGGAGATAAGCTATAAAGAACTATTTACAAAATCATTCTTTCCAGGAGTTTCATCTAATCTAATAGTGGAAAGATGTTAAACCAAGAGTTACAAAGATATTCATCATATGGAATAGAAATGATAACTATCTTTTAATTCAAAGATTTAATGACTTGTCCAACTGTGAAAATTGTAATAATTATTTGCCTTATCTTTGTGAGATGTAATTGCATATATTTCACACGTTGAACATCACGAGGGTCATGGTAACTTAATCAAATGAATTTGATCAAATGAAGTTGAATAAATTTAACATAAATAGAAATAAGAAGGTAAATCCTGAATAGCATTAATATTATAATAAGTATTTAAAGTTGTAAGAGAAAGTTTGAAGTGAAAGGATTATAATTGTCTCTCATTATATCGCCGCGAAGATTACACTTGAAGTTTGGAAGAAGTCATGAAGACATAAGAGAAAGTTTAAAGTTTGAAGTGAAATGATTATAGTTGTCTCTTGCTATATTGCCGCAAAGACTACACTATATTATATAGAAGTTCACTATATTATTTAAGTATAAAACATACATATGTTTATTATAATATATTAATATATATGAGATATTAAGTTGATTAAAATATTTTCTACTTAAATATTATAGTGATCTTCATCTGTATGGGAGATTTCATACTGTGTAATAAAAATTGCAATATAACAAGAGTCTTCTACAACCACAACAGCAACGTGTCATAATACAGACGTCCACTCTTACAAAGGTATGTAATACATTTAAGTATAGTTGGAATTCTAGTTTCAATTAAAATAGCAAATTTGTAGCAGAAGATTATTTTGTAAACAATTTTGAGAATAATAAACTTTATTAAACAATGCAGGTGTAAATATAAACATATATTAGACAATACAAGATCTAATTGACAATTTTATTTCATGTCATAGCTACAATGAACAATTTCAAAATTCAGTTTATAGTTACAATGAACAACTTTGCAATTCACAGTATAAATGCATTGAACAACTTTATAAATGGCAGTGTAGATACAATGAACAACTTTATAATTCACATTAAAGCTACATTGAGCAACTTTATAATTCATGTCACAGCTACAATGAACAACTTTACAATTCACTTTAAAGCTACATTGAAAAAGTTTATAATTCATGTCACATCTACAATCAACAACTTAACAATTGACTTTAAAGCTACATTGAACAACTTTATAATTCATGTCACATCTACAATGAACAACTTTACAATTCATTTTAAAGCTACATCGAACAGCTTTTTAATTCGTATCACATCTACAATGAACAACTTTACAATTCATTTTAAAGCTACATCGAACAACTTTATAATTTGTGTCACATCTACAATGAACAACTTTACAATTCATATTAAAGCTACATCAAACAGCTTCTTAATTCATGTCACATCTGCAATGAAGAACTTTATAATTCACTTTAAAGCTACATTGAACAACTTTATAATTCGTGTCACATTAAAATGAATAATTTTACAATTCACATTATAGTTACAATGAAAAACTTCACAATATACAACATCACAAAATTATAAAATAAAGATCGATATTCAGCAGCCTCCAAAGCAAGAAACTCAGTTTCACAACGTCCCCGAAACTCATCCTAAAGATTGTCGGAATACCCGAGTTCAGGAAAGCAAAGTAAAAGAACGATGGTTCGAGGAACGTGTTAAATTAACGTCCGTTTCTCTTCAGCCTCGTTTCTCGCTCATCGGGATGCTGAATCAAAGCAAATTAAACGGAGTGAGCGGCATTAAAGTCAGCGCGAACCAGGACGAGCATTCTAGCCTTTTCGAGTGAACGATCAAAAGCTGAAAGGTCGAGGAAAGCGTGCACCGGCCGACCAATCATGATCTTTTCTCGGGATCAGAATGATCGTTAGTCAACGATGCATGCAGAATAGATGGAAGATCGAAAAGTGCTCCGAGAAATTGGACCGGTGCCTCTAATCTATTTCTAACGGGTTCTACACCGTGGGCTGAATACTGTATCCCAAGGAATAATCTACAGTTCTGACAGGGATTAAGGAAGTTATTAATATTCGTATACGTCTGTGATGTGTATAGAAAAATAGAAGAGAGGCTTGAAAAGGAATCGTAAGGTTTATTCGAATTTTTGTTCTAACAGGAGTTGCAAGAAGCGTTGCTGACTATATGGGAACTATGAGATTTTGGGGGACAATTTTTTATTGGTACAAGATTTTAGTGTACGAGGTTTTATTTTTATGGGTCAGGTAATTTTAAGGTATAGTGGAAATAATATCTATAGCCAGATTTACTTTTGGGATGATTGTAATATTGATACAAATGCTTTCTAAATTAGAATATAAGAAGTGGTGAAATATCACGGACACTTAATTCTTGAACTCTGAAAACTTGTAACAATCACAGAGCTCTTTGACAAACAACATTCTTATGCATCTATATGTTGTTTTGACGTTACTTCTTTTGCCACCAAAATTCAAATAAAATTATTAAAGTGATTTTTATAATACTTCAATTTTGATGGCCACAAAATATATCTTAAGTCTACAACATCAGATTTCCCACAACTCTGCAAAATGAAAAAATATTTCATAGTTTTTGCATGATGACTGATTTGAAATTTATATAAGATTCATAATTTCGTTGTCGGACAAAGTTTACAACGCACAAAATCCAGGATCGAGATGGGATGGTTTAGTTAATGAACGGCAATCTCCCTCGGGCGTAGCCGGCTTCGTCTCGCGCGAGATAAACGACCGCGAGTAAAGCAAAAACGAGGATCGAGGCGGGTAATTGTATCTGACACGGGCCGGCTTCGCTGCAAACGTGATTCGCCGCCGTGACGGATTTATACGATTCGTCTCTGTGGGAACCCGTACGCGATCTATTACACGGGATTCCCGTAAATCTATCGCGATCGACTTCTGTGCCTAGCGAACGGAGGTTGTCTTATAAGGAAACGCGCTGAAGAGTCGACGTTAAAAAATTTTGGGGGTGGAAGATTTTTATGAGACAAAAATTTTAAAGGTGGTAAGTAGTAATGATATGAAGTTCACAGACAGAATTACACGATAAAATCTTAAAATTTCGAAGTTTCAGCTTTACTATTCAGAAGTTACTAGATTTTAGAGATTCGTACACTCAAATTCAAGTATTTCTATATGTAGATATATGTAGCTCTCTGCGTTTAAAAATCTTCAAGGTTAAGCGGTCTCAAATTCCCAAATTACTACGTGTTAGAATTTTTACATTAAAAAATTCTCATATCCTTAAATTTCCACATCCCCGAATTCTCACATTCCAAAATTCCAATATTCCCGAAATTCACATATCCTTAAATTTCCACATCCCCGAATTCTCACATCCCAAAATTCCAATATTCTCGAAATTCTCACATCCCAAATTTCCACATGTCCAATTTTCTATATCCCAAAATTTCACATTTCCCACTTCTCATTTGCCTAACTTTCCACACCCCCAAATCCACATATCCTCCAACCCAAATATCCTCAAATTCCCACATCCCTAAATTCCCACAGCCCCAAATTCTCACATCCCAAATTTCCTACACCCCCAATTTCTCATATTTCCCAATTCTAAAATCCCCAGTTCCCACAGTTTCAAAGTTCAAAACTTCCAATATTCATGAATTTCAAAATTACGTTCCAAGTATGATTTAATCGTCGTCATCAACAATTTCATTTTCCTTTTAAAGTCATTAATAGCTTCATAGACTCTCCATCAATCTTGAATACAATCGGCTGTAAAGTTGCAGCAAGACCTGTTATTCAATCACTTTTATTCAAACCAGCTCGTTATAAAGCTGCTCATCTAAATTCTGATACAATCGCCTGTATTTGCAATCTTTCGCCGACTGAATTTTTGGTGTAATTATATATCGAGCTTCCAATCGTAATATTATAATTATTAATAATGTTTGCGTATATGTAAACATTTCTATATTTTATTATATTTGTTATATTACAACAATTATATGTTTGTTATATTTTAATACATTTGTTATATTACAACAATTGTATGTTTGTTATATTTTAATATATTTGTTATATTGTAACAATTATATGTTTGTTATATTTTAATATACTTGTTATATTGTAACAATTATTACATTTCTTATATTTTAATAACAAAGACTGACATCGAATTATGTTTCTTACAACACAATTTTCCTTATAAGACAATTTTTCTCC